TTGTTGCTAATATATGGATGGCAGGAAAGATATTCCCGGAGCCTATGTTTCTTCTGTGTCTTTTTTTGCTTAATGGACCATACTTTCCTTCTTCCACCAGTTCTAAGAAGCCCATTTTTTTCCTCAGAATATTCACATAGAATATGAAATGCAGCGTGTCCTGTCCTGAATCCTTCTCCATTGATCTAGCGAGGTTTCTGCCATTCACCTCTTGGCTCCTCATGGAAAACATACATGCGGTAACATAAACCTACAAGCCTGAGCCTGAAGACTGCCACTGCCTGTGGATAACAATCCACAGGCAACTGGGCTTGCATCCCCAAGTAGTCCTCAGTGAGGAAATAGGAAAGCACATGATATACGCTGAAATGTCAAAATTTCATTTATGGGACAAAAACAACATATAAGGATGCAAAAAAAACCAAAAATAGTAATTATTCTTTTAAAACTCAACAGAGTGTACAACAAGCCAGAGATAAGGGGCCAGATCCTTATGTGCTACAGACCAGCAAAGCCCCTGGACTCAGTAGAGCTCCTCAGCCTACAGCCAGACTAGGATGTGGTACATTACACCCAGCAAATGAACTCACGAAGCACTACAGACATATTTTCACAGCATTATTATTCAGCTGATGTTTATAAAGTATTATGACCACAAAAAGCTTGCTCTTCTTCTTATTTATACTTATTATGTTTAGCACATACAATTTGTTCAGAGCCGTAAGGAAAAAGTAAAATAAAATCTCAAATAAAATAAAAGTAATTCCCAGTCCACAGGGCTTGCAGCCTGAAAAACAGGCATGAGGAAGAGGGAACATGCTGTGAAAGCAGAAGGGAATGGGCTGCAGATAGCACTCGTGTTGTTGTTTGCTCACAACTTACAACATCCCAGGGAGAAAAAGTTTCTAGGTGGGATCCCAGCAAGGGGAAGGTGGCAACTGTGAGCCAACACGAGGAGATGTGGACCAGAGCAGAGTCAGCCGTTGTGGAGATGAGAGATAAAAGGAAGATTGTTGGGCTTGGGGGTATTTTTTTAAGATGGAAGTTTTACGGTTTTGTACTGTCTATAAATTGAATTCTAATTAATGAATTCTACCCTATTAAGAGAATGGTCCCTCTCTAAAAACTATCTGCTTAGTGTTATCTGAAAACAAACATCTTGATATTCCATATCGACTGAAGATATATTTATAGAATTAGCTTTCCAAAATTTTCTCCAGTGAACATCGCCGGGCAGCATGGAGGAAAAAAAAAAAAAAACTTTTAGACTTACACAAGTCTAAAATGTAGTGTCTAAAAACTAGACAACCTGGGATCAAGAAGTTACAAAAGGTTCATTTATAAGAGTGCTGGATGTCTAGCCACTTTTTGTTAATAGCAACTTCCAAACAAAACTCTCATTGACTTCAAATGGAGCAGGAACAGACCCAAAGATAGCAAATGAACTAGTAATTCAATACGTGGTCTGTAAAACACACTGGGCCACCTTACACTGTGGCATTTGATATTCATCTCAACTTGGAAACTATACAACTATACATTTTTACAGAACTATCCAACCTCTACGAAACTGATGCTAACTCAAAATACCCAGAAATATCAGATGAGTACCACTTAAACTGATTACATACTTGACTTCTGTTACCTAAGCAAACACTGGTTTATTTGTAGCTAACAAACGTATCATGCTCAAAATTATTCTTTTGTTTGGTACAGCACAGTGAGTAAGTGCTTTAATAAACCTGGTAATTGTTTTTAATGAACGTGAAAAAAATTACATGTGTATCTTAGAGGAAGCCTGGGAGGAGACCCTTTGCTAAAAGAAATGGTCCTCAGCAGGGCTATTTTTGGGCCTAAACCTAAGCACAGGCTCCAGAACCTGGATGACTTTTGATCTATCTTTGTCAAATAAGGCAAATAGCAACACGAATGCCTGAAATACTGAAGCAGTCCTGGCACTCCAAATAAGTCCTCTGCTCTGCTTACTTGCTGCTTTCCATCACATCTAATGTGTTTTCGGCAGTACAAAATGGATATAAAACACAACTAACTGAGAATTTTCCATCTCTTTCCTCTGCTGTGAATAAACACACGATTACATGGCAGTGGAGAATCCACATCCTTGAGTGTGAATGAGCAGCACTACACATACTGTGTACAAACAAACGTATGGAGAAGGCAGAACAGGAGCTGGGGCTGTGCTTCAAAGATGTTAGTGCCGCGTGTTTGGGATAAGCGCATTACTCAGCAGCAACGAAGCCTTCAGGAAGCGGGGCTGATCACTCCAAAATGTTCCAGAAAAAGCCTACCGCATGGGCACAAGTTCTGTTTATGCCACAGATTTGTATGTTTTGTTAGATTTGCTATTTGAGTTTGCACTCAGCTTTCACTATTTGAATTATAGTAGTTTTCTGGGTAGCAGAAGTGCTACTGGCATCAGCACAACCTGGAAAAACTACTGCTAGTAGAAAACTGCTTACAATGTTCTCCCGTTTCTGTTTACTAGCTAAACATTGTCTTATGGTCACAATATATCATTACGTTTTCTGTGCTACAGCAGAGTAAAAGACATGGCATGTATTAATTGGAGAGCAAATTCATTAACAGCATAAAAGTAACAATCAATGAGAATTGATTAGCACGCTGCTGTTCATCTGGAAATCCCTTTTCATACCCTTTTGATTTTCCAAGAACGTAACAAATAAAAAACAAATAACACTTTAGAACAGCACATTAATATTTAATTGCTGCACTTTTAAGCAAAACATTCACCAAACGCTGCAAAAAGTGGATTTTCCGTCGCAAGTTAAGTGTGCAAATTGTCATCATGACTACATTCAAAAGAATAAAGGACAACATTCATTCTTGCTGCACAGAAAATTAAGTCTCCTAAGTGCTGCTCTTTGCTATGAAGTACTTCCCATCTATACAGTCGATTTTAGTTTCCTTTTTGGGAACAACTGTACTCGTTGCAGAAAATACTGTCGAGCCTTTTGAGCTGAAAATTAACATCCTGGCTTTGTTTGGGCTAGTTTAGCACATTATCCCAATCGGGGTTCTTGGGAATTCGCATGATGTGCGTGTTCTCCAGCAGGGAGCCGGGAGGGAGAGGAGCTGGATGCGCACGCTGCCTCCGGCTGTCCTGACACCCACCCGCCTGGGAGTTTTCACGGCTTTTTTATTCTTTTTTCAACATTACCCATCCAACTTTCAAAGTGACTATTCTGAAAGGTCCGCCCGACCCGCTGCTTTGTGACAAACTTGCAGCCTGTGAGCTCAGATACACCAAGCCAAGGCCATGCTAGGCCTGCAAGAACGCAAACACAAGCACAAAACACTTAGCTGATGAGCCTGTTAAAGCCTGTGACCGCCTTGGTAAGGCATCACCTTGGGCGTCTGTGGGTACAGCCTGTCCAAAGTGGTCAGAGTTTAGCAAGGAATGGAGGCCTATGGCCTTTAAAGTGCCATCTGGGGATCTCTGTTGAATATATCTTGGAAAAGGAAAAAAAAAAAAAAAAGGAATAACAACATTGGAAAATAATACAAAATCTATAAAGCCACAATACAACCTGTAACACAAACACAAAGATTTTAAACATGGAATTTAGCTGGAAAATGATCAGTGTCCCTTTGGACCTGTCCATGAGTTTGATATCTACCACAGTCATTTCAAAGTAGCCCCACAAGAGTCAAAAAAGATGCTACAAAGGTGATAGAAAGGAGCCATTGACCCAGTTTTTCTGGGTTTTTAAATTCAGTATTTCCTTAGGTTGTTAAATTCAGTATTAACCACAGGAGCTACCTTGTAGAATGAACTAATGAACATCGCACTTTCAGTGGAACAGAAAATTCCTCTGAAGTTTGTCTTCATTCAGGGAGAAAGGGAAAACAGTCAAATGCATGGGAGTATTATTTATCCCACTCTTGTTTAGAAGAAAATGCCTGCAACTTAATTTTAAAACGGTGCATATGGACTGAAAACTTACAATCAGGCCAGAGATAAATGTTATGGTTGGGATATAAACTGAATATTGGTATTTATAATTGAAACGAGGACATAACCTTAACTCGTGTCACAGGCAGCACCACTGTAATTAAAAACTTTTATAGGGCAGTAACTAATTTCACATTATACACGCTCTTTAAAGTTCCCACAGCCATATAAAAGTTTTATTAGGCAGGATGCTATCGAGGCGCACATTTATAAGCACCAGCATCGCGCCCTGCGAGCTGCTCTGACCCGCGGCAGGTTTTCCGTAGGGAGCAGACCAGGGACGGGACGCGCTTGTTCTGTTACACCTGCCACCGAGGAGAGAAGCCCCAACTGTTGGACGCGCACCCTACTGACGGGAGCTATAGATCACATAACACGTTAACGTATATGTATACGCATATGTGTATATATGTGTGCATTTCTGCAGCAGGGGAAACCGCGCCCGACGGCGCGTCCCGCGCGGCTCCCCCCGCCGCTCCCCACGGCACCGGGAGCGCCTCCCGATCGGGGGCTGGGGCCATCCGCCGCCAAA